GCTGGTATACTGGCTGGATTCTTCAATTGATTGGAGTGTTTGAAGCTTCGATACTTGCGGATTGCTCAAGAGTGTAGGCATTTGACATAACGCAACATTGCGGGCTTAGTGGTGGATTTGATTGATGCTTAATGCATGCATTCTGCATTCATACCAAATGCTCTAGCAATAAATAGAGTAATGTAGCTACGCACCTCAGAATGGGGTCCTCACTCGAATGTCTCACTGGAGTTCGATGTTACAATGTTTGCTTCATCCTCCATTTGAGGGGTGCCCAAACGCATCCGCAACTCAAAAAAGCATACCGCTGCAATGGCGCGGCGCCTCGTGTTCCTGATGGTCATGGTTCAAAAGGTTCCCTGCATCTTCGCTCCTAGCTGCCGATTCGGAGGTGCAGAAGAACGCAGGGATTTGGAGGGAGAAGGATACGAAGCCAAACCCCACAAGGCAAGCACCGAAAAATTCCCCAAGAACTGCCTGACCTCCGAATTCAATCCCTTCCAAACACAAAGCCTAACGCTCGTTCTCCGCCCCGGTCGGCCGCGACGCGCCGTTCTCCTCGCGACGGGTCTCCAGTAGTTGCTGAAAATGACCGAGCCAACGGCCTTGCGCAGCCTGCAGTCGTCTGTCGTCCGTCGTGGTCGGTGCCATCTGCGCCGACACTGAGTCAGACTTCCAGGTGAGTCCAAGTGGGCAACAAAGATGTTGGGAGTGTGTCTCATCCCACAACGAATGTCTTCCTGGAGAGCAACTGGAAGGGCACATCGTAACCACAAGCTGTCACTGCGGATCAAAACACTGGAAGCTGTAGGAAGGAATCCTGCACGTGACACTGACATACCTTCAAGTCCTCCATTTGTGTGTGTATGTAGAAATTATGATGTCCTGTGAAACCCACCGAAGCGGAAGCATCAAAGTGCATCTTACATCATACATTCAATTCTTCTTGGCTTCCCATCGTCCGAAATCGATATGCATATATGGATGAATATGTGGATCGATATACAACTGTTATGGACATTGGACATCCTCTGATATCGCTAAAACAATTCCTTCTCTGACTGGCCACACATACTCTGGAGCGACAGCACCGCCCCCACCTGCCCCGACCCAGTGGCTCCTGAGCGGAGCGGGCGAATCGGACGAACGTCGAGCCTCCCGGTGGGGACATGAAACAGTTTGACCAACTTGTTGGGTCAAGAAAGGTCAATCCAACTGTGAGCATGTGTTATGTTTTAATGATGTAAAGGAAAGGCTCATTGATGTCTAAGGTGAGTAGGACAATCATCCGTCCATATCGGTCCAAGCATGTTGAAGCCAGCTTGTGATTGGCCTGAACATGATTCACTTTCATGAAAGCTGTGTAGCAGCGCTGTGAAGCAAATGTGAGCATTGCCACTCTGTGAATGTAAAGTGTGGGAGTTGGAATCAAGCTCTCAAGCTGAGACTCTGCGCAGGTGCTCAATCCCCAGAGTCAAAAGCGTCGCACGTGAACTGATTGATGGTCCTCTGTGCACCCAGGGGTGGTACTGTGTCACAGAGTTGCTAGCTCCACATGAACCAAGCAACTCCACCACCCTGAATCCCCTGTCCGCCGAATCCAGTCTGGGGCCGGTGGCACTGGAGCAAGGCTTGATGCATGTAGGGCCGTCCGTACTGGCCGAGCAATGTGGGGAATGCGTCACTACCAACCTTCAAGACAATCAATAGGTGCGGTGCAAATTGACAATGAGCGACAAAGAATCACAGAAGCGACCTTTGAGGGTAAAGGGTTCAGCAGGACAGGTGTTCACCCCATTCAGCAGCCATAGCCCTTTTTGATCCTTTAGATATCGATTAAACATGCTCAAGAAAAGGAGTCAGAAAGCAAGCGAGAGAGAGAGAGAGGAATATCCAAATATCCACCCACCTCAAAAAAAGCGCTCTTCGAAAGCCACCACTGAATTCCTTACAAAGCGCCATTGCGACATCGCCAGCCCGAAAGAAATTCTCCGCCTGTCGGTCTTGTCCAGCGGTGCCTCGGTCGGGACGAAAAGCCCGGTAGGAAAGACAAGTCTCAGATCTGATGGCTTTGGGATGCTTTTGGTGTGTCCTTTGATGTGCACGTACGACACCTACGACTTAGAGTAAGTGGCTCGGGATGGACAACCAAAAGGGATCCATCCAGTTCAGGTCGAGTCAAAATGTCAATCAAGAAGAGTCGCATTGCCACAGGAGCTCAATGGGAGTGCAAAATTTAGAAAATTTTAGCGTGGTCGGCAAGAAGTCTTTGTTAACATGTCCCCCACAACATGAACATCTTCCTCTTGGGTCATCTAATGACCCTCGGAGGCTTCAATATCTTACAATGGCCATGCATGGCAGCTTTGTAGATCAACTTGGCTCCCTTTCTGTGCAACTTTTCTTCAGGAGCTTCATCACATCCTGTCATCGACCCCACCGAGGGAGTGCGTGGCAGCACTGCACAGTGCAGCACCCGGGCATCCTCCTCATCAGACATCTGCAGGATCTCGTCGCTATTCGCGGATAACATGGATCCATCACAGCCTCGAGGCGCAGAACAAGAAGGGGACGGTGAGACGAAGCGCAGAACGGTCCCGTCCTCACGTTCGGGGTGACATGGTTCGAAAGCATCGACTGCTGAGCTTCGAAATCGAACTCAGTTTGCTTCGTGAAACACAGCCTGTCTTCGCCTGGGAGTCGGGGGCTACTTCTGGGTGGACAAGCTTGAACCTACTTTGAAACAAGCCCAAAGACAGAAGACAGCTCTCAACCTCCGGCACTGCCAACTAGTTCCTGTCCACATTGGTAGAAGTCTTGTGCATGTTGCCTGCCATGGAACAAATTCAGATTCACAGGCTGCTCCGCTCGGCAAGATTCACAGACCTTCATGGATTCAACATGCTCCGTGCCTTGAGGGAGAACTACCGCAAGGATGCCCAGAATTAATTGCTTATTATTCCGCTATACCTTGACCTCACTTCGTGAAAATTATTCTGACCGTGGTGAGTTGTTTGGGATAATATGGTCAATCCCCGTCTCTAACATAATCTAGCATCAAATTCAGTAGTACATTTGGCAGTTGAGGAATTGTCCCTTGCGCACAGCACCGTCCGACAAGTTATTCCAGCCTCTACAGCACCTGTATAGCTTTACAGATCAGGTCTGCAATGGTCTGCAAATTTTCTCTGCGGCTGAAAAGTTGGCTAATGATCTAATGAGTGCATCTGCGATGTGTCCAAAGTAGAATCAGCGTCAGACTGTCTGTCCAAAGTATCACGCCAGTGGGCTTAAACAATTAAACCAATAACAACAGTCTCATGAATTCTTCAAAACAAGTGAAATGCTCTGGAACCAAATCAGCCGAGCGAACACCATCTGCAAAGCTTCATGCCAGATCCATTCAAATCCCAGCTTTGCACATCTGAAACGTCTGGCCCGACAGAATCCCACAATTTAGATGTTGCAAAATAGCCAATAAACTCATCAACAAGGCCGTTCACACTCTTCATGATCTTCATGTGCCCTGCATTTCAGAATCCTAGATGTGCCCCCCCCAACCCACCACCTCAGACATTTAAAGAGTCCAAATCAGAGACCAGTTCGTGCTGCTTTTTTCGGGCGCCATTCAAAGCTCGCCGGTCTCTGAAATCAGTCTTTGCCTGGACCCGTCCGGTCTGACCCACGGGTCCTGATGTCGCGCGTACCGGGGCCATCTCTACCCCAAGGATGAGAAACGGAAAACCTTTGGGTTCATTTTGCAGCAATTTTGCATTTGGTATCACATGTGCTTCTGACTGGGCCATCTTACATGTGGAAAGGATGTGTTTGGTGTCAAATCTAAGTGTCTAAACCCCAACCCATGGTGCCAGCCATGTGCAAAAACGCTTACTCTTCCCTACAAAACAGACTAATTACTAGACTAGACAGGCCGGGCTTTTCGAGACACCAAAATCCTCTTCTGTTTCAGCCAGTTCAACGCCCGAATCATGGGATTGGTCGTCTGTCCTAGATCCAAACGATGTCTGAACACCTCAAGACTCCCAGCATCTCCCAACCAAAGTGGGAAAGGTCGAACGGTACATTGAGCTATCCCAGTTTTCTGTAGTGAGCACCCCTCAAGAGCCCAGGGATGACCAGGGGCTATTAGTAGACACTTAACATAGGCTCCAGTCTCCTCCCCACTCATCCTCGGACCGAGCGAAACTTGCGGGCATTTGGCCAAAATCCGCAGAAAGAAGCGCGAACGTTCCAGCGGTCAAGAAACATCCAAATGTTCAGAGTAAGTTGATCAGACTTACTCTGAGGTGACTCTATTCCTGCAGCTTCAGAGAGTGTCCATTGCCCATAGATTCATTGATGCGTATAACATATGAAATTCTATGAAAGATGTGGAAAATGATGGAAATCTGCTGTCCCCAAGAATGGAGCAACTTCCCTTTCTGACGTTCGACTCCTTGAAGGTCCGACCGACAGCAGTCCACACGCCACACGCGCTCGGAACGTTGGAACATCGCCACATTCTGCGGCCTGGACAGCAAAACTGCCAATTGCCCCGACGACCGGAGACCGAAAAACCTCAGCCGTGTCGAGTCGATCGCCGCTTGAGACGACATGCCGAGGTTCTTGGGGAGGGGGTTGCCCGAACATGAAGCATGGTAGCCTATCAGCTTCTATAAGAACATGGTAGCCTATAAGCTTCTATGGTAGGCTACCATCTTAGAGGGGGTAGCCTATAAGCTTCTATAATATAATTCTATGATCTGCAGCATATGTTAGACGCTCGGATGCAGGGCGCACACAGCCAGCATTACATTAACATGTTGGGTTCCAATTTATCCGTCTGCGGACAGGATGTGGAAAAACCTGGCCGCTTGGACTGGTTGATTTTGAAACATTCACCTTGACCCCAAACCCATGTCTTTTCCATGGAATTCGCCCTGATACAAGGATCCTCATCTTGACTCGGGCCGAGGCTGAGCGCTCACGCGCTGAGGTTCTCAATAATCCTGGCATCCATCACATGCACATGAACACTTGGCTATCGGTTCATAAAGTCTCTCAAAATCCTCTGCACCCAAGCTCAGCTCTGCAGCTCAGGACAATGTCACGCTTATATACCTACACAACACAAAGCAAGTTAAAATGACAGACTCAACCTTGAAAACAGGCTGGGCAAACGTCGAAGTCTTCCTCACCGTCGTCGTCTTCTTCGTCTTTGCCGTCAGCATCCACCACCACCTCACCATTGTGCCGCCGAGCACGAGAAACAAAGTGCGATCGCGTTCACCAACTTGGAGCAAGGCCCAGTCAGGACAGGGGAGAATCAATGATCGATTTGGGTGATGGTGAATGGGAACTTCATGTCCCATTATATAGATACCTTTTCCTGCTCATCCCTCATTCAGAGCCAGAACGCACAGACCATGTGCAATTCTGAACCTCTTGGACCTCTTCATACATCTCTGCGATTCTCTGCGACGCGGACCATCCTTTCTCGGACACGACCCAGGGGTCCGGGCACACTCAGTGGTCAAAATCATGGACGCGATGGATGTGGCATTCTGCAGGGCAGATCTCGCTACCTGGCGCATGCGTGCTTGTTGAGTCGGCGCACGGACTGTGGCAGCGGGCCAATTTTAGGCGTGTTTGTCCAAATCAACGACGTCCGTTGGGCAAAAGCAACATGAAAAGATTAGCATTGTAAGGGGCTTGCAACACCTTTTTTGCGACAAAGTTCCTCACAGAACAAGAGATTGGCCCGCCCAAAAGAATGAGATCACCTTTCACCCAAGATGCCTTTCATCTCATGGTTACAATGTTTTCCTCAAGCATGTCCCTTAATAAACAAGATCTGAGAACCCCTCACATAGGCACCTCGTCGACTCTGTTCGTTGCAGAACGAGATACTGAATAGTGTGATTGTGGAATTCTGCAGTTGCTCGGACACAGACTGTTGCCTGGCATGATGTGTGTCTTGATTTCAGGAGTTCTTCAGCAAAACCAGCCTACCAACACCCAGCCCCTGTGTCCTCACCTGCCCGCCCAACCGTCCCCGAGTCCACCTTCGCAGGGTCGATGATGCCGCGCCTCGGTGGGTCAAAAGCGACGCCAGGGTTGACCCTTTCGTCTCAGGCGACCGTGGTGGACCAGGGACCAGGGCACCAGGGTTTTGACCCAACATGCTCGGTTTCCGGTGTTTTTAGATGATTTTGGGATGTTTTGTCAAGAAAGCCACGGGACCCCCCCAAAAACACACTCACCAACTGGACCCCCAAGCAAATAGAATGTGAACTTCAAGTCCGGTTGGTGGGGAGTCTTCCGATTTGTAAGACACCCATCTCGCCTGATGATCCGGCCACCCCAATGGAAAAGATCGCCCCCATGAACAAATATGAAAAGTAAAATCACCACTCTGAGAGTTGGACTCCAGCATGTCGGCATATTCCAACACGAGAGCATCAAATCCTGCAGGTTCCACTGTGCGTAGGATGGAGGAGTGCGAGATGTGCTGTAGCATGCTGTAGCAGTGGCACAGTGGCACTGTGCCGTAAAAGCCAGCAAGTATGCCATGTGCAAACACGTGCAAACGGTAGTTGCTGCAGTCTTGGCATACGCCAGGTCCCTGATCTGACCATTAAAAAAGAATGGTCCACTCTGGATCAATCGAGGTGCTCTCAAGTAAGTAAATGAGTTGGAAAACAATGCCATGCCAGGCAGAATCAATGTGAATTACAGTACTATCGTTTGAAAATACATGCAAACAACGAATCAATATTGTTTCGGCAGTCACCTATCGTTTCTCCAGGAAAATCCACGGAAATCCGACAAAAGGCCATGTCAATTGTCAATGAACCGTCCCTAATGAAAGGTCATTCACACATTCAGTAATGGGACGGTCACAGCTCGTCTGTGTGGTCTCCAAATTCCGACACGTACTCCGAAACCAGGGAAAGACCAAGCCCATCCGATGACCATGTACTTCAAATTCCAAACCGTTGACCCCCCGCAAATGTTCATCTACACTCATCTAGACCGCTTGCTTTGACCGACTGCCATGTTTGAAACAAGTTTCAACTCAAGACTCAAGAGATTCCCCATTTCAAACTCGACCTTGGAAAAGGAGCTCCAAGTGTGTGTTAGGTGTCTTATGGTTTCTTTTCTGTTTCTATAGACCGACCCAAACACCACTAGGCATGGAAAAGCCTCTCTGACCCACGCCCAATCACCTTGGTTGGTTGACTCCGCCGCGATCACCTGATGGTCTGGCACGGTGCACGAAAGACGGGCCGGGTCACCGGTGGTTTCTTCGGTGTCGTTTGGAAACTGCAGAAACTGCTCACAAGTTTGGTGGTCAAAGAGGAAAACGAGTTATGCATGTTATACATGTAATATGATGTAGAAATATGTAGAAGATGGATTGACATACAGTAGTACAAAGAAGCCTGTAAGGCAGGGGTACAGAAGAGCTTGAAAGGTGATGCGATGAAATATGATTCAATCGTGTGCCTTTGGAGTCTGCATGTGTTATAGCATGCGCACCTTTTGGCCTCGCCTTGTGTTTCCTGGATGTGTGTTGTATCTGGAAGGCGCGCAGCACTATTCCAAGTGGTGATGTGTGTGTGTGTGTGTTTCTTCCTTGCACATGGAATAGTGCATATGCTGGTAACATCTTCCATGATCTGCCCACATGGAGAACATCTTCCAGGTCGTTGTTAGATGTTGTCGCTCAGGTCAGGGCTTCTGCACTCAGAAACAACGACGCGAGTCCCACGCCTTTTCGGCCACGAGCTCCCCATTCTGGCCGGAGTTGGCCTCAGGCGTGGGGCTCAAAGCGAATGAACATCGGGATTTACATTGGCATGTTAAGGGACGTGGGCTAGTCTATGGTCTGTTACTTCGTATGCTGAGAGGGGTTTCTATCGTGCAGACTTGTCACAAGTCATCTCATCATGTCATCATGTCGATATGTGGCATGCGGCATACCATCGCATACCCATATCGAAAGGGAGTGTGTCGATCTGGACCGTCCATCATAGCCCGGTGTGTGTGTGTGTGTGCGTGTCACTGTGCCTCTTTTTCTTGGACTTTCGCCACCCCAGCCACGCGTCTACCGCGTCCACCGCGTCTACCACACCCCACACCCGGCCCGGGTCTCGGCCGGGGGGCGGCGATGCGCTTCATCGGGGAACTCATCGAGTCCGCCACGATCAGCGCGCCCTTCAGCTGATCCTTTCGTGCTCTCCAGGGCCCGAAGATCGAGACGGGTCTCCAAACGGCCGGACGGGGGGGCAGGCGTTCCGACCCTCGGGTGTTCGGAGGGCGAAGAACTGGACTGCCCTGGCTAGAAAGATCCATGTAGATTGAAAAGAGATGAAACTGGTGTTTTTTAAAGATTCTAAGAAGATTTGGAATGTCAGGTCACCTCCACGATCCTCCACGCAGGTTTGCTTGAAAAGCAACAGTAATTAATTAATGATTAAGATATCCAAAGTTCTGATTCCAAGCCTTTACATCTCGCAGGACAGGGGAACATGTTAACCTGGCACAGGTGCCCGCTTACCAGATCTGACAGCGGTGCTCACAGCGGCCTCAGTGAGATTCTCCGCAGACCACTTCCGCAGGTCCTTGGACAAGTGGCACCTGACAATTGGCATCAATTGGCGTTCGATTTGGTTGCGAGGGACACATGAGTGCAGGGATGATGTAAATGATATATATATAAATACATAAGTCCTCATGTATTTTGGCTGTAGGCCATTGCTGTTAGGTTGGACTTTACTGTACCATTTCAAACGGAGATCTTGACTGAACCCATTTCATCACTCGGACCCCGGCAGCGCAGCGCCGCCGCCAGGCACAATGCCCTCGTCCACTGCGGCCTGGCAGATGACTGGGGACCAAGAGTTCAGATGTTGAGGGGTCTTGGATTTGAACTGTTCTTGATGCTGTTTGCATGGAAACTCACGTACTCCACGCTGGTCACAGCTCCTTATTGCCCCTTTGCGCCCCCTTTTTTCATAGGTCTCCCAAATCAGAATACACGCAGTCCATATTGATCATCCTGGTTGAAACCCAAACCCCAACGGTTTGCGCCGATCTTCGCCCTGGGGCGGCGGTCGCACCTTGGTGGCGTTGATGGCATCCTCCAGCCGCAGCTTCTTGTCCTACCGATCGGCGGCGCCGTCGAGAGGGCCGGAGAGAGAGATGGATTGGAAAAAGTCGCCTCAGACTCCTACAGCAACCGGTGTTTTTCCTAAAAGGAGGGAAAAACACCGGAAATACATTTGAAAAGTTAAAGTGTAAACGAAATCCCATCAGTTGGGGAATCCCATGGGATCCCCATCTTAGATTCTAAACAAATCACGTATCTCATCTGACATGTTGCCTGACCCTTCTTCAACATGTCCTTTTTCATCAAAGACCGGGCCACCATCCCGTCCTTCAGCTCTGTCTCTGTCGTGGCGCCAACCTGGCAGTTGAACTCTTGCGCTGCTGCAAAAATGCGCCAATTGCGGCGGATTGCTGCTGGAAAAATCTGGGGATTGTAGGAGACAATATGGAGAAACCATGTCACCATTTATGTGACCATTGTCACCCATCACCTCTTGTTGCTGGGAGATCTTCCTTTCTTGGCAGAGACCCACTCGACCCCGGCAGTGCCTTGATCAAGGCCACTCCACCTACGAGCTTGGCAAGTCTCTTCTCCAGCTGCTCCTTGGTATAGGAGCTCTTGGTGTCTTCGATCTGCCTGTGCCGCCCAGCTGCGCAGTCGCTGCGTCGTCGAAGATTGGCGTGTCCAACGAAACCTTTGGCGAATTCCAATGGTTTGAGGGGAACAGCTTGTCGTCCCAAACTTCAACTGAGCCAACAGAGGTTGAATGGCCCTCTTGACTATCCCATAGGTACCCCAGTAGGGTCCTATAAGGTCACTTAACCTCTCTTGGAGCTGATAGGACGAGTCCCAACTGAGTCTACTCCATTCCAGGATTGTTCCGGAATCCCCATCAGCATCGTGCCACCCGGAACCCAACTCGCCGAAGCATCGTCCCCTCTGCACGCCTTTGGATCTGTGCACACCGCTCCTCTAACTGGTCCTTTGGAGCATCAGCCACGATGGTGGTGGAGTCCTGGAAGAGGCACTTCCGCCACAAACAGCTTAGCCAGAGTGGTCTCAAGTATAAATCTAAGAAGGCGCCCGGTCCAGAAAAGGCATGAACCTCTAGACTCTAGAACAACCAACTAATTCTGGGTCAGGAGGCTAGTGACACTGAAATGGCCACGAGAACCTCCTAAGGCAGTCTCCGCTGACTATTTCCTGGCCCCACAGCCACTCAGACTGAGGAGGTTGCTTTTTGTAAAAAAAAAATGACAAAATAGAGATATATGCACACCAAAACTTAACTTACCCCTACATTGGTGGGTATACATCTCGCAGATCCCATCCACAAGTCCTTTCCCACAGTGATTCGTCTGGCAGTGCCTTAATGGCAAATGGAAAGACTCAAACACCAGCATTCCTAATACCTTGATGCTTCCCTTGTTCCAATGAGTTGAAATTCATGGTTTAGAAGTTGGACAAGTTAAGCACCCTTAAGCACCCTTCCTAAAAGAGCCACCCACTTTTGCCAGGGACATAGTACGGCCTGGATGAACTGTGGAGTCATCTATTATTATTGTTGTTGGGTGGTTCCCTAATTGGAGCCACACAAGTGAAACGAATGGTAACCTGTCAGGAGAAAGTGTCAAAACCTTGGAGACGCCTCTCTTTGGACATGCTCCGCTGGGTCGTTCCACTGGCTCGAGGCTTGCTTCAAAAAAAAGACCAAGTAGCTAAGTAGCCTCCCTCACCAGTGAGAGCGAAAGTATACCCTTGAAACATCTCAGACTTCACACTTCCCAAACTTTCGAGCGCGCATCAAACAACGAAGCAAAGACCACCACGGTGAGCTGGTCGTCTACACGTCGTCTACACGTTGTCACCCTCCCGGCACCCTCTGCCTCGTCACCAAAAGACTGGCCAAGAGACCAAAGTCTTCGGCCGTCACGCTGTCCAGCTTCCTTCCGAGATCATCGGTGATGTACCTGAAGGTAAACCAGCAGAAAGGAACGGCTCCTTTGCAACAGGATTCCAACATGGCCCTCTTTTTTTGAGAGGTCAAACTGTTGCAGTGTCCTTTTTGAAATCGGTAGGCAGTGCAGTGATCATTGACCTTTCTCTTGGGAAAATGGTCATGTAGTGAATCTATATAGTTATCAAATCCCGAGGCAGTCCACAATCCGGTCATATCCGGTCCACCGACGGGCACGTGGCACTGGTCACCAGGGCAATGTCCTGAAACGAAGACAGGACCAGGGTCGTGGGGTCGTGTCAGGAGCATCTAGATCTCAGCGATCTGATCAAATTGAATCCCCTGGCGGCCACAAAAACAAACGATGTGACAAGAAGCATGTGCAAACCAGTGCAAACGGAGGAAGAAATCCGTCCGCCATCACCATATTTGTTGTTCGACCTGTCGCAGCATGGTGAGGTGACCACCACCAACCAAGAGGTTTTTGTGGTTCGTCTCTGCACGTGTCCTGCAGAATGGCCTTCCTGTTGTCACCGAAGCCAGGTGCTTGCACGGCACCTTGGAGCGGAGGCACCGAGAAGGCAGGCCTGTGGGCAAATCTTCCCAAAACCTGGCATTCACGAGCTCAACAGTTGGTGAACATCATGGGTTTTGAAGGACTTCCTGAGACCCCAAAGGAATGAATATAGAGCTATAGCTACCGTGACCGACTCAAGGTCGAATGAAATAAGGCTGCCCCACAGCAGTCAACAATGCCCCGGATCTTGTTCACAATGAGAGTTGCCAGGACCTCCGCAAACAGGTGGCCAGCGCCATGCTGTGTCCACTCTGGATGAGAATCAAACTGATTGCATGTGATTCGATGATGATAAAAGATAAAAGCAGAGAAGAATACATGCACACCACCAGCTACTGATTTCCAAGACACTCAAATGATCTCAAAGGGGCTTTCTAAGCATTCTCGCTGCTGGCCCAAGTATCAGCAGTAAGCTTCCAACATCCCATCATGTCACTTCTCTCTGCCTCCTTTTCGATGGACTCTGCAATGATCAGAAGTGGCTTTGACATCTGTTTGGCGATGGTGAGGATCGGAATCAGCTCCTGCCATCCACGATTTCGTGCCTTGAAAAGTGCCCGACATAAAGCCTGAACTGCACTGCTTTTCAGATCCAATGCTCTCAATGAACAGTTCATGTGTGATACTCGTGTAGGACCGGGTGGACCACTGGCGTTCAGTATTCGGCTGTGGAAACCTCTCCGTGACACTGGATGATGAGGCACAGCTAATTGAACGCAAGCAATTCAAGGGCATGCAACACCTCCATTCATTTGGAACCACAATTGGGGTCCTCAAAGATTTTGCGACAAATAACAACTAGCAGCTAGCACCCTCTGGATGTCACTCTCGGGGGGGCCAAAACATCATTTACCAGTACATCCAGTTACTGCCAGTAATTGTATTGCAGAATGACCAAGACTGGCTTTCCTGAAGATTTCCAGCTACTCGGTGCTCGGCAGGTACTGAGGGAATGATCCCTACTAAAACGAAAAGGAAGCTGCAACTGCAAATGCTTGGACACTGGCACCAAAACCATGCTGACTCATGACCCACAAAGCACCAGCGAGCCTACCTACCGGTGTTTCAGGCTCAGTCGTGGTGGTCCCCAGAACTCCGTTGTCGCCTGCTGAGCCATGGAGATCTTCTGGTCAGTCACCAGAACCAAGGGCCCGTTCCTCAGAACGGTTGAACGATCCGAACGGTCAACACGCGGGTTGGAGGATGACTTGCCCACACCGCACAGTGTTCTTCTAGGTACACAACTAAATCAACCAAGGTGTAGCTTGAGACATTTTTTTTGGCATGTGTGGTGTGTTGCCTACCGATAGCCCAGCTAGGGTGGAGGATGCCCGGAGGACTTCAATTCATGTCTTTTCTTCCCATTGTTTTCCTCGCATCTTGGGACAGAATCTGCAGGCTTCTCAGATAGGATGGAGTCTTTTGCACCACGGCAGGCTGGGCATGTCCTCCACCTGAATGCGTTGCGCCTGGCCTTCCTTCATAGGAGATCTCTGCATGGCATGTACCACAGGCGATGCTCCTCTTAGCATCTGCGTACGGGCTGTCACTGGCTGGTCCGCGGCGTCGATACTCCAATCATGCGAGGCATTCTTTACGCAAAAAAAACACTTCTCCCAAAGCTCTGCGACACCCAATCGATACTCGTGGCAGACTAAAGACTTTCGATATGGTGGCAAAGCGGGCGAATCAGCTAGGCCTGCGCTGTCGCCAAGCATCCACATAGGTAACTGCTGAGTGCCCAGAGTCTATGCGTCCAGAAACCTTCTGCGGTCAGCCACAATTTCATTAGCTACATGTCTTCTAGATGTGGAGGCTTGGCAGGGGTTTGCGCCACACCTCACAAGCCATTCAATGGTGCTGAGTATTTCATCCCGCCTACTCGGCCTTTGATTTACCAAGCGAACACAAGCCACCAGCAAAGTGTGTCCCGTCTTGCGATCATGTGCGTAGCAGTCAACATCTCTTAGATTCAGCCTCTTCAAAGCTTCGAGTTCGCCATTCCGCACCAACGCATAAGCGAGGTCTGTGCGTTGCCACATCCTAGTGCAGAAGAGAGGGTTAATGAAGAGACCAACAAAGCTGTTCATAGTGAAGAAGGCTTCAATCAATAATCCCACAGTATTCTGTCTGGGTTCGTTCGCTAACTCGTTCAGGTCGTGAATTGGAGAGTACACTGCTTAATATGTATATATATATATTATATAGTTGTTTTATTGTATTATAAGATGTTTTATCAGATTATATAAATTATATACATAACGTTCCTCATTCCCTAAGCGCACATTTCGCTGCCTTTTCTTCGGCTGGCCACAGTAAGATGTCTCAAGCGAATGGCCACGATCTTCGGAGCGACAGCTAAGAAAGAGGGAGAGCCATCGAGGATCAACCTTTTCCTGCTTGATTGCTTGGGAAGGGTTCGCACCAGACTTGATGAGCCATTCCATGGTGCTCAGTCTTTCAGCAACCTTGTGGTCAGCCAATCCTGCATTCAGACAGTCAAAGAGCACAGTTCCTCCACTCCTGGGATTGATTGCGTTCCAATCAAAGTCTGATATATCTAGCCTTTTCAAAGCTTCAATGTCGCCCTCCGCCACCAAGGCAAAATGAGGTCAGTATGTTGATGCTGCGACATTCAAAAGAAGAGAGGCTTCATGAAGACGGCTCTGTCAAACTAAGATTGTCATATTGAACAGGAGTCACTGACATACAGAAATTCCGCAGGTGCCACAATACTAGCCTACTCTTGAATGACCTGGAGAGTACTGAGTTGAGGAATGCAAAAGGTAAGATCTCAGCCATCCCTGCCTCATATAATGCCATCCCTGGCACAGGCCCATCACTGTGGCCAAATGGCTGTGAGGCAGTGACCGAATCTTGAACCGAAAGCAAAGCGTCTGATGGGTCTGTGGCCTGGCCATGCCTGGCCCTGGACCCCGACCGTTCACATACTTGGATTCAGCACTGATGTAAGTACTATACTACTATACCGGTGTGCAAAAGGAAGCAAACCAATAGGTTGTCTGTATAGAGCCTCTTTACCAGGGGCGAAGCTGGGTCTCCTGTGTTTTCAAACACACCCTATACCTCTTCGCGTCCACTGTGCCACAACTGCAAAAGGGTTCTGTGGTCTCTGGCGACTCCCAAACTCTTCGCGAGGGGTTGGCAGCATCCAGGCAAAGGTAGGGAGACAAATAGCCCTGCGCGACGGATGAGAACGTGAGAATGCGCATGAATCCCGGTAGTGACTACTTGGAAACAATCCATTTATATCCATTTATGCCATAAGTGTCAGAAAGCCCGGTTTGGGCATGCTTGAGTTTTGAGCAACACCGCAGCAACTTTTGGTGTCAGCTCAAAACTGCCAAGTGCCGTTGAGATGGCATTTGGTGGGATTTGCACTGTAAAGGAACTGAGAGCATACCATGGCAACTTCTATGGAAATCACATGGGGAAGTGGTGATGACCATCTCCAAGACTGACACCTCAAGCACTAGGGTCTTGGGACAAGGATAAACACACACCTGGTGGTCCATCCATAGTTCTTGGATGAAGGCAGGCGAAGGCAAAACATCACAACGGCAGGCTTCGCTTCAGGCGAAGGCAAACCAACAAACGGTGTTTGCTACCGCGCGTCAAGTTCTTAAAATCTACCATGTGGATCCATATGGTTCAACACCTTTGCTCAAAATCACGCCTTGTCCAAGTTCATTCCCTCGGTGAGCTCCACTTCGGTGTCGGTGGATTGGGACCTGAGCCGTGGTCTGCCGCTGGTGGACGTGCCTGAACGTGTAGGTGGCCGAGAACACAGGGAGACACCCCTGGCCCAACGGAGTGGAACATCCATGGAAACCATTATCCATTAAAGATCATTAAAGGCTTTTGTGTGTCCAAGAATGGCACACAGAAGTCCCATGAGACCTAGGGTTTACTTAAGCTTGTGAGGATCCATTTTCGCATCCATTTTCGCATCCATCCATCCATGCGAACCGTTCGCCCCTCCGGTCCGCCGGCCGAGGAGGTCGACCCCGCTTCCCGAGGCCGAGGACTCTTCCAAAGAGATGACGCCGCTGCCACCGACCTGGACCCACCGCTGACCCGAACCCCCCGGTTGTCCCGGGCCCGGGCACCAAGGCCGACCATGAATGGGCGATATATGTCGATATACTGCCATGTCTATCAAGCAGTAGCTAAGCAGGGAGTCCGTTCAATCCACTCTCTCTCGCATCTGCGTTCATCCAAGGTCGTTCATTCGGAGCGTTTACAGCGTGCAACGGACATTTGCCTTCTCCATGGCATCCGCAATCATTTGCCCAGCCTGTTGGCAAAAGCAATGCATGTAGCCATCAAAATCTGGTGGGAATCTGGACGAAGGCAGTTTGAAGATGCTGATTGAGAGTATCAGCATGGGTAGCCAAAAAGGGTGACTTGGCTTTCCAGACAAGGATTGGAGACTTTGACATACTTGACTGTAAGCTGACCGGTGTGTAGCCTCTCACAACACCTACGAGTCTTCTGCGTTTCCGGGCGAATTGCTCCCACCAGTCCCACCTCATCGTCGCCCCCGGCCGAGATGGAGCCTACCTCGCAAAGTCTGCTCGCCGAGCACTTTCTGATTGAAATACACAGCTGGTCTTGGGGATTCACCGCCAAGTTGGCCTCTGTTTCTTTCGAAAACAACTTGAGATCAGGTGGATAATCAGTGATCAGTGCATGGTCAGTTGCCACAAAGAGGAGTATTCCGGACCCCTACCCACTGACAGGTGGCCACAATGTACCTAAAAGATTAAACATGCAAATATCTAGTTGTATGATTTTTGTTCTATACGCATCATCTATAATACTATTATATGTTTTGACATGTATGCAATAGATCTCCTCAGTCTCTTTAGTCTTCATCGCTTCCCTGCCTGCTTGATCTTTTCCATGTCCGTATCGCTCACCGACACGGCAATCTCTTCGATCCGCTTCACCACGTAGCTCGCAGCCTATGCAGCTAGAGAAAGGCGCCAAGGGCCAAGAGCAAGAACCGACAAATGAAATTGAAAGTTTGTTTGGGAGGAATGCATGGGATGTCGACTGTCCACACCATCATGTTATTAAACATAAATCTTCGAATACAGTATCTTGCGCTTACAATGACCCCCTCTTGTTTCAAAATGGTCCGTCGATTCAAAACGGTTGCTAAAGTCTGGCCTTCTCCATCCCCAGCTTGATTTGCACTGGATTGGCTCCTCCCACCTTGACACCGACCGGTGACTCCGACGCGAGTGACCCGTGACCGGTGGCGCAAGGTGTTCGGCTCCCCGCGGGCCCTGCGGGCCCCGGCCTTGTGGTGTTTCATCCAGGTTTGCTGATGTGGTTGCGACACTTCCAAGGGACCATTATAATAGTCAATATACAAGAAATTGGTAAGGTTGAGAAACATTGAGCTTGGAGTTGGCTACCGAACCCCGTTCTGATACTCTGTGTTCAAACCAAGCTTACTCTCTTGCCAATTTGTTCATGTTGAAAACCCAAAGGGTCTGTTCTACAAGTTCGTTCTCGCCCGGTTCCGGTCCCTAAACGAAGCAAAACGTCCAGACCTGTGAGGACCTCCACACCTGAGGTCTTGGCCAATTGTTTCATCCCGCTCTTCACCATGGCATGTGCCAAAATGGTGGCGGTCCTGGCAAGCCAGGCGCCAACCAAGCGAAATCTTGGCTGTATCAGAGGTTTGGAGCACCTGCGATATATCTGGAGACAATTCATCACAGTAAAACAAACTGTCATTGTCCTTGTGTGAACACAAATCATGTCGGAACTGCAACTCCATTGACGAAAATGCATCTTCTACGGGATGTTTGTACGTAGGTTCACTGCAGACAGAAGAGATGCGCCAGGAAGGACCTCAGCCCCAGACGTGGTCCCATCGCCCGCCACATCGTTGGTCTTGGCGGAGGCCTGTCGAATCAGCTGCACACCTGTGTTCTCGACCTGAGTCCGCAACGATCCATCGGAGTCTGGCCCACTCGTTGGCATTACAGTGATCCCTAAAATAGATAGAAAGGGAATAATAGTCTTGCAAACCGAATCTCGGAAGAGTCAATATTCACGATGTCGAGTCTAGTCCTTTGACGAGCTTATGTTTCCAAGTCTTCGTATTTTTGCAAATGGCAAGCAGCCACTTTAGGGTGACAAAAGGGACAATGTGGTTGGACATTCCACTGCTGTCCGAAGATGGCCCTCTCATGCCGGGAACATAAACTCAAAGAAAAATGGACCATAAAAACTGACCCAAGACCTCTGGGGTCACAGAGAACGAATTCCGAATGAAACTATCTTCACCATTCAGCACCTCTGTCACAAAGCAACGTTCAAGCCGTTCAAGCGCGGCTCTGACCATGGACTGGGCTAGTACTATAGCGGCAGGCTAACCCTGTCCGATGACGAGCCGACCTTGCCGACCTTGGCCGATGCAAAGTGCAACCAAGGATCTTGATCCTCAAGCTCTATTTCCTTGGCGATCGTCACACCTGGCATGTCAATCAGCAGAACAAAAATAGCATGAAACTAAAGGCAAGCGATATATCACACACACAAGCACGTGTTTGAGGGCAGAGTCACAAGTTGTTACATGTAGTTACATGTTCGGGTAAGGGATCAAAATAAAAATAAAAATAGAATCAAAAAAATATTCAACGGGGATCAATAAAGTAATAAAAAGGTAATCAAAAAAAAATATTCTAGCCCACTGAGGATGGTTGGGGTAGTAGAGGAGAGTGTACCTCCCCAGGAGCTCCCTCCTAGTAGGGAGCTATTTCCACTGGTGAACCATTTTTCGAGTAGGGCTACTCAATGACTGGACGGCAACCTTATCGTTGGGTACCTACTTTCTTCTCAGGGAGCTGCCTCTAGTAGAAAGCAATCAAGCCTCTATTTGCGCAAGCAGGGGACCAGGAGATCGACAGACGAGCACCGTAGGAGAGCAAAAGACCAGCGGACCAGGAGACAGAAGGACTAGGATACCAGGGGACCAGCGGACCACAGGACCAGAGGACCAGGAGACCGGAGGACTAGGGGACCAGTGGACTAAAGGACCAAGGGACCAGGGGACCAAAGGACCAGTGGACCAGAGGACCAAGGGACCAAAGGACCAAGGGACCACATTACCAGAGGACCCGCAGACCACAAGGCCAGGAGAGCAGCAGAAGAGGCCTATCAAGGAATATTTTTTTGATTCGCTTTTTTTTGATCCTGCTTTTATTTTGTTGCTGCTCTTTTTATTTTTTTTGATACCTATGCCTTACATGATGGTGTGCAAAGCTTCTCGAGGTGATGTTCAATCTGGTTTCACCCAAAGGCGGAAACATGTGCGATGCATTGAACTGCTGAAAACCCACCACAGGGGGATCAGATCATGGCCTTCATATATTTTTGCCACTGAAGACACTGGATCCTGGATGTCACACGGAGTATATACGTATGTCATGATGCGACCCATCTGAAGCACTCCAAAGACCTTCGCAGACTCGCCACCGACCACAGGGCCCCCCCCCATCTTGCCCGATTTGGGCTGGGTTCCCGGCCATCGTTGACGATCTGTGGTGCTGAGTAGTCACCCTGATGGAAGAAGGACGGTGCGGAAGTCGCCCGCAACCCAAGGAAGTGGAGCAAAACCAGGTTGGTTGGTTCATTGCTGTGTGGTTACCTGGCTAAATTGGTTGGTGGCATAGTCACTGTCGAGATCTCGAACTGGATGGGCCCACCAGAAATTGGGGGATGGGCCAAAACCCTGCAACGCGCACGTCAGTGTCATGGTCCATATGATGTCTGATGATTTCTTTGTATTTTCGTTGGACGTGACGTGGTTCTTGGAGCCTGGTTTCGGGTGTCAGACTGCGCCGCAAGCTGGCTGCTTTCATTGTGTGGTATTGTTAGTACCAACACCCACAGACCAACCCCTAAACGAACTAGAGGACTATCAATCACTTAGGGTGTGCGGGCTTAGGATTTATGGTGTCGCACCAAAGCCAGGTGTGTGTGTGTGTGTGTCATGAGTCATAATCAATCTGATAACTCTCTGCACGTAAAAATCAGCATGACATTCTGAAGCAACTGTCTGTATGTGCCCGAATAAGAACCTCCGTCAACGACTTGCCAAATCAGACGCCGAAGCCTCTAACCCCTAAAACCGGCAATTTAGCTTTCGCTCAAAGCCTCTTGGGGCAGGTACAGCCGGAAGTTCTGGGCGTATTGTTACCTAGACTCGTCCACCATCAACCAGAAGTGCATCACTTAAGTTCTGCAAAGGTATCCGGTATGCCCTCATGAGGCATCAACAAAGGAAAGCTTGAATCACTTGAATCACATCTGGACCCAATATGTCAGGAGATTGGAGTATAGTATAACAAACCCTCCCACAGGTTCCAATGCATGGCTACTCAACACTTGGATGGATGGCAATCATAAACATGCCTTGGCAGCTCCCCAGTCTTTGAAACCGGGATGTCTTCAAAAGGACACCAAGTCCAAAACAGTTTCTCCCCTCAGCTCGATCGGCATTTCTTAGCTCGCTCCAGTCTCAAGTCTCTTACCAAAGAATGTCAACTTTTTCCGAGTAGTACCAGCGGTTACCAGCACCCGTCAGTCTCTTTCTTCATCGTTCTTCCAAAGAAACCGTGCCCCCAGCTGATTTGCTCTACTCTCCCCAGCTCATCCTCGTCCTCGTCCTCGTCCTTGTCGCTCTCGCTCGGTGGCTCACGCCTTGTCCAAGAGCACGTTGCGACCGCGAGGACCCAGGGTCACCGCCACGGTCTCGGCCAACTTGTCGATGCCCCGCAGCAACTGAGGCCGTCGACCGTTGGAGCGAAAAGCCGATTGGTGGCTGGGTCGGTGTCCAGATCCTTTCCCTGGCTTTGGACACCTTCTGGTGTACAACGGCTGAATCTGTAATTCTGTCCTATGAAGTTACAACCAGACCTCCTGGGCGCTGACCAAAGTCGTTGTCTCGAATTGAAGATCTCTAAATGGATTCCGAGTAGAACAAAAAGCAGAGGCCATCATTGAGACAGCCCGTACAAGAAAACATCAGTGGTATGGCCATCGAAGACCCAAACGAAGCAAGGATATGAGGAAAAAACCAAAGTGGCACTGGAGTGCAAGTAAAGTACAATCCGAGAGAGAACAGGAGGCTAGATTCAAAATGTTCAACCTTGTTAAGAAACATTGATCCTTAATTATGATCATTTCGGTCAACGCAAACGTGATTTCAGCAGTGTTGGGAATCTGTCTCAACATGAAAGTCCTGGACACATGTACCAGTGAATTCTCTCTCTCTCTCTCCCTCTCTCCACTGAACATTGATTTAAAAGAAACATGCCATATAGATCATATAGGATCTGCTGAGTGGGGAAACCTCATGTTCCAATCGTCATGCGCAGGCGAGCTTGCTCGTCCGTCGGCCAGGCGACGAACGGGAGTCGCCTGTTTTCGACCATCGTCTCGGTAGAGGATCTTGCGGGCCTCGGGCGAAGTCGTGGGATTTCGGTGGCAAAACGTGGCCCACAAGTGTAGGAGAACCAGTTGCTTTTGGCACCGCGGCGCCAAAGCAAATCAAAAACAAAACATTGATGAATTTCATGTATCATTCGAATGCTTCATGATGTGTCTTTTGCTGACCATGCAGTTGGCACTGGGAGGCCCAAAGCAATCCTTCATTCAACACACGCGCGGCCCGACATCCGCCAAGAGTGCAATCTCATAGCCACACAAATGATCTGTTCAGGTAGCAAAAAACAGCATTTGAAAACCCATGAAAATCCCTTGGCTCACTGTTTTGACATTGTTAGTGACCGAATTCCTTCAATTCTGGCCTTGGCCCTGCAGGTGGTGCGCGAGCGACGGGCAGCGCTTCTCCTGACTCGGGCAGGTGAATCAGCGCCGGAGCGTGGGTACAAATCGGTCAGTAGGGTCAGGAGAAGCCCTGGGCTCTTGAAACATCTTGAAACACATTGAAAAACATGTGGCATTGTATATACAGTGGTATGTTGGAGCTTGAGCGCTCTGAGCCCTCTTCTTTCTGGCCATCTCGGGTCCGGGAGCGCAGGCTGCAGCGCAGGCACTTAGGCACTTAGTGCGGCCTGACATGCTGAATTCAATTTCAGAAGAACTCCACTCTCAGGTGTGCTCGGTCATCTTGCGAGGGCCTCACCCGGGCGGAATGGAGGAGGCTCTTGGACCACCATGGCTCCTCGCAACTTCCCACCAAAGCTCTGCCCCTGAAGCCCCTGAAGGCCTTGAAGGCCCGGGGAGTAGCGCAACTCGGTGGCACTGGCGGAGCTCATCATCCGATGAGAACCATGCGCAGGCCCCGCAGGTGCTGCGCGCAAGGGTGGCAGATTTCTCTCACTTGGCCGGCGCCTCATCTCGGGGGACCTGCTTCGCTTCAACGTTGGCTTGGTGTTGGACAAGTGAAAGGTTTGCGCATGCGGCGCATGTGGTGCATGGCCCAAAGCTGTGCTTGGATCTCCCCATGTGGCCACAGACAATGCGACATGGCCACCCCCCCGCTGGTCGAACGTTCTGAATTCTCAGGTCAAAGGCGTTCGGTGAAAAAGACCGGGAATGCGGACTGAGAGACCGGTGTGAATGCAAGGACTCACTACTGTAGGAGTTCTGCAAGGTATTTCCCGGTTGGTAATACGTCGAGGCTGCACTGTCAAAGCGCTCATAGGGCGAGGGCGATCGAGTGGCTGGCAAAGATCCGGGGAGCTTGACGGCAGAACCGCAGTTCCTGCAGTAAACAGGACTCATGGATCCACCTCTCTTGCCTTGGATGTGCTGTCTAGGAAGAAAAAAAAATAAATCTCCATGCCAGGGGATTCAGCTGGATTCACCCATAGGGAAAAAGAAACATCACCCTAAGCAAAGCCAAGTTGCTCTCACGCTCTGGTGATGCGCGTCGCCTCGTCGAATGCTTGGCCTTGAACCAGGGCGGAGGCTCTCCGGTGTTCCCCAAGCGGTACCACTCCAGCCGACGCTGTTTGTCCATTCGCCTGAGAGCATCATCATACAGCCGATCAAAGCATGTGTAGTCGGGATCCGCCATGGTTTTCCCCAAACCAGCTTCTTCAAAAAGTTTCTTGATCACATCACCTAAACCCTTCTTCTCTGCGAGTTCCATAAGGATTCGAAGCTGCTCTCGAACCTGCTTCAGGAGCTTCAACAAGCGAACTTGTTCGTCGTTCAACTTGTCATTGTCCTCTTGCAAAGATGCAATTTGTTGATCTCGCTTCTTGAGCTTGGCCTTGAGTTTTTCAAGCTCCTGGCGTAGTTCTTCCAATTCCCGTAACTGATCTTCACTCAAGCCGCCAGGAACAGCGACCTGTTTGACCTCGGTGATGGTCTCTTTCTTCCCATCGGTGTTTTCTTGAAAGCGCTTCAGCTGGTTGCTGAGATCCAAGGACTTCTTCCTTTCTGCTTCAATGTCTTTCTTGAGTTTGTCCATTTCCTCCTGAGCTTTTCTCAACAACTCTTCTACTTCCTCTCGCCTTTTCCGCTCTTCCTCAAGCTCTTCCCTCAGTTTGCGAATGGTATCATCATCCCCACTCTTCACTTGAGACGTGACTGTGGCTGCCCCTTTCTGTCGCTTTAGCAGCGCTAATTCCTTTTGAGCCTCCATGAGTTTTTCTTCAAGTTCTTCTATTCGTCTTTTTGCGATCTGCAGCTCCGATTTGAGTTTTTCCGAGTCGCCACCCTTTGTGACGGCTTCCTGGAGTTGTTTTCTAAGCTGTGCAATCATTTCTTCTAGCTGGGCAACCTTCTCTTCACTGAGCTTCAGCTGTTGCTTCAAGCTTTCAAGCTCTTCCTGCGAAGCCGATGGTTTTTGATTTGCCATGGAATTCCGGTATTCTTTCACCTCCTTCCGGAGCTGCTCCAAGGATTTTTCCATCTCAGCCATCCGCTCTTCAGCCTCTTTGGCTGCAGCCTCCAGCTCTCGGATGCGAGCTTCTGCTGCCTCTTGCCCTGCTCGGGCATCTCGCAATGCAGCCTCGAGCTCTGCAATCTGTTTGCGCAAGTTGGCCACTAATGCACTTTCCTCATCACTCTTCCGAAACTGAGAGAGATCCACTGCCGAGCCCTTCGCATTTGCGATGGCGATGGCAAGCTTGATCCTGACGATCTCCTTGAAATACTCACGTTTGTCTTGGTCTGAAAACCAAAAGTCTGGCCACCAAAGCACCTTCTTGTAGGTGCCATCTATTGCAATCTCTAGAGCAACCCGCACCATGGCCTCATTGCTGTGCTCCAGAAGCAGCCAAAGAGACTTCGCCACCTCCATGACTCTATGCAAGTCTGTGACATTCTGGCGCCACAGGAGGTCATCAAAAGCCTCCTCTTCATCTGGATCATCTGGGTCTGGGTTGTCTCTCCGCTCCATTTCAGCCTTGATTCGTTCTGCAGCATTCAACCCCTGCGGCCAGGTTCTTGGAACGACGGCCATCCGCAGGGATGCCGCCGGGCGGCTCGATGCCGCCCCACGTGCACGCGGGTCCGAAAACCAGTCAAACCTCCTTCGGAGGTCCAGAAAACCACTTTCCGCGTGAAGGAAGCTGAGCAAAAAAAACTTGAGCCCAAAACCGTGCACCATACCATCAAGCAAAAGGAGCGTGTGCTCCTGAGTTGGGGCGAGACGTGCTTCACAACAATGTGGACACACCCCACTCTGTCCTTTCGCGTCTGCTCAGCAGAACCTCAGAGACTTTTCACAGGTCACTTAGCCCCAATTTTGGGCCAACAGAAGAAACGGAAGAAAGTATAGTGACGGTAAATAGGTGTCTTTATATATCCAACAAAAAACGCATCTAACAGGAAGTTTTGTTCATGCCTGGATGCTCATGTTCACACACAGCAAGGTTGGAACCCGGCCGCGGCGGAGGCCCCTAGCCCCAGCAAGCTCCAGGCACCCCGAGTGTGCGACGCCTCAGTGGCACAATGAACACTGTGTGGACACCCAACTGCCTTGGGTATGTATAAAGCAATTGAACATTCATGCAAAGGTGAAATGCACAAGTGTTTGCCGAGCTCGAAGGGATCATGTACCTTGCACCAGATCTTTGCCAAGTTGAGATCACAAACACTGGTCCCACTCTTTCAACCTGAATCTGTATGGCATCCCAAAGAAGAATCGGACAACAGGTGTTTGACATGCCTCATTCTTTATCAACTTGAGGATGATCGGATCCATTCAGATTCACCCTCCCTTTCATCCTTACTCCACGGTCGGTGTCACCGGCACCTGGCTTGAGATGGCTGGCGTCGGCGCCGGGTGCGGTGCCGGAGGCGTCGGCCGCCCAGGCCTTGGTCACATCTGGTGCAAGCAACCCACCTATCAAGACTGGTCGGCAAATGCCTTTCACCATCAAGGCTCCCTGCAAGTGTTTGGTGGGATAGCTTGCCGATTGTGGGTGGGATATGGTGGGATAGGTTGCTTGGTCACCTGGTCAAATTTGCTTGGTGGGATTCAAGATCAAGGCTCCCTGCTGGGTTGTTGATCCCAGAGAGGATCCATGCAGCTGAAGAAGGAAATGCGGAGCCAAAGCACCAACACGCTGGTTTTTAGACTCTTCCAACTATACCCCGAGCTCTTCTTGGCCAAGCTCCATCGTATTCGAGGCAACTAAAGAGGTGGTTTTCAGGTTCTTTCATCCAATGTCCATGGCAATGCCCATCAAGTCCAAAGACCAAACCAAGCCAAAGCATTGCCACCAATAAAGAACATCTCCCGAACTAAACAGCTGCCCAGGTCCTCAGGAGCTACAACAACTAGGTACAAATTGAAAAATATCGTTGTCGCCCCCCCCTCCCACTTCTGTGATCATTTCCCCACTTCTCCAGCCAAGCAGCGCCCCCAAGGCAACCGAGCGCTGGTTGGGCACCCGATGCAGTGGCAGATGCACGAAGCTGGGTGCCAGCTCCATCGCCTCAATTGGCGACCGGCAAACAAATGCAAGCTGCCCAGTAATGTCGACTCCGAACAAGTCCCAAAAAAACTTAATGCTCCTGATTAAGAAAGACTCCCTTATGAAATCTTCTGAAGAGGTTTTACTATCCAATGGGGGCGAATACCGGTAAGGGTTGGCGTGGAGGCCCCACCGACTCGCAAGTTCGTGCATCCAATTGGGAGGGAGTTTAATTGATATAATTGATATAATGATATAAGTGATAATCGTATTACGGGGTCTTCAAAACCGGTTAATATACCAACTGAAGGTCCTAGGGCTTTCAGGACCATTCACGACACGCAAATCGTTCCAAAGAGTATGAGTGAGACCAACAGAACTGTCACCACCGGACTCCAACAGCCACACTGCTCATCACTGCTCACCAGTCTCCTGACCAACTGTCGCTGTCCGGCCTCGTCCGCCCGCGAAGCAGAGCCCAACCGGACCGAGCCCCTGAAGAAAAACGCTGCAAGCAATGCCTATGTGTCCAAATGATTGTCTATTCTAAGAGGTGTATATTCGGAAATACTCGTCCAATGGGCAATGCCATCAACTTCGATTCTCCCATGATCATGTCGTGTTGGCTCTTCTGCAGTGCTCAGTAACCTCCACAAGTGTAGAAATCCACAAAGCATGGACGTCATGTACCAGGCGCAGGTTGTGGCCATACACTGTTGAACCCAAGAAATACAAACTAAATGATAAACAGTCGATCCTCGCAGATTCTTGGTTTTCTTATGACCTGACCTGCCTGGATGTACAATTGGTCAAAACTGACTGTTCATTGGACTGGTCAGTAACCACACAAGTCAGTTTAAACGCAGGTGGGAGCACCATTGACCTCAAGACAACGCTAATCCAGCAACTGGCAGCACATGGGTTTGTCTCAAGGACAGCGGAAAGCATCAGAAAGCCACGTAGTTCTCCACACGTCCATCAACCGGCCCAGCTCCATTCTTTTGCACTATCGGCTGGTGGGGTCAGCCTGGCAGATGAAGCTTGGACACAAGTCTGCAGAATTCTCAGAAAGAATTGGTAGATAATCAAGAACCCAATGAAGACCCCAACCAATCGGCAAAAAGGGACACAAAAGTATCCAAACTAATCAGGAGAAAGCTGGTTTTAATCATTGCTACCGGGTCCGGATGCGAATTAAATCGAATCATGTGTGATTAGTATCGTAATATCATAGGTACACCCCTTCATACCAGGGGTACTGATCGAATGCCATATGATTGTCATTAACGTCCAATTCGTTCCAATTTGCGCATGTGTTGTTCCAATATGTTGGTAGAGAACAACCAACAAAGCTACTAGTAACAAAGGGCATCGCTACTATTAGCCAAGGACGCTACTAGTAGCTCCTATCTCCACAAACAGCAACTGGGAGGAGTCTATACTACTCGATACATTTCTATACTATCAGTGGCTCTTATATTCAAATTCCAGAAACCTCAGAAACCAGTTTATAGAAACAAAGAGTGCGCTGGAACCCATCAAACAACTGGGTTTCAAGCCTTGCACCTTCATCCAGCGCCCCCCTCCGTCGCAATTCTCGCCGCGAGTCACTGCGCCTTTCGCCGTAGCAGCTGGTGCACTTCATCCACCTCTGCCGGTACTACAGAGCCAGCATGGTGAAACCACAAAGAAGAAAAGGATAATTACATAGAATTACCACCCAAGGATCCAAGTTTGGTGGATTACAGATTCATCTTCCTGTAGTGCAGCCATGTGCCTCTGGAATCCATGTCTGCCTCTAGCAGGTTGACAGCTGAACCTCCTTCACCGGTCTCCACCAAAGATGTCCAAAGCGGCCGTGTCCCGTCTCCAGGGCCCGAGCCATCTCTCGAAAGTCTTGGGGCGAAAGCCCTGATTGGCCCAGGTACTCCTCGAAAGCGGTCGAGACGCCGGAAGAGGTGGAGGTTCCGATCTGGAGTCGAGGAATGTGGTGGAATTCGATGTCTTTCAAAGCGCTGATTGGTGGGCATCTCTGAGGTAGACCTCTGGCAGTTTCTTCAATCACTTCCTATGATCTTCAGATGTCTATCGAGGATGTGAATCTATGTCAACGTGTTCATTGGATCTCCACCTTGTTTCCTGCACAACGTCGCAAGGCAAGTGTGCTCACCTTCCAGCACCTTCATCCTGAGTTCTTAGACCGACTCTTTTCTGAAGACCGAGGCACCCAAGTCTTTGGAACAAAATGGGACAACAGCATCTGACGAACGAAAAAGCAGTCCCAGCTTATACACCCCATCTTCAGCCGACAAAACTCGTCCACTCCAGGTGGCGTGGGGGCGAGAACACCGGTCGCCTTGAGTCCCTCTGTTGGTCGCTCCCACCTGTGAGAAGGCCACGTAGGGACGGACCGGCTCAATGCCCAAGCGCCTGCAGTCACAAATGAGGGGTCTATTAGATGGCCACACATGACATGGTCGGGTAGAGAGAAGTGCCGATCTATGAGATATATCTGAATCTATCATCCTAGAATCCTGGGTGATGTGGTCCTTTTAGCCTTTCGAGACCAGCCCCTCAGCAATGCAGGGTTGCTTCGGCTTCGGGCAATTGCAATAGCGATCATCTGCACATATTGTGATTGCCCTTCGTGGCCTTGTGTCACTCAGCAAGCTACTCCAGCGAGTCCTCAAAGCACCACTGAAAAGACAAGAACCCGAAAGCAATGGATCAAAGCGTTTGAAACCTGCCTGTAATCCAAATAATCCCCCACCAAGAGACATTGATGAAGCAGCCAAGCATGGAGAGTAGCCCAAGTATATGAATCTGAAGATCATGTTGGGAGTGAACTGTTGATGGTTGGTCATGTTTGAAGAAGAAATGTCCATCTTCTGCAGGTGAGATACTTAACTTAGATACAGTCCGTTCTATATATATATATATGTATATTAGATGTCTATTAGGCATAGAAAAGGCCGGTTGCCAAGGAGGTGGCCAAGCAGGTTGTCCGAGCAGTGAATAAACCCCTTGAGTAAAGGAACACCTGGGCCAGGGACAAGACCTGTAAGTCTCTGGGTCTTACATTCTGAACTAAAATCCTTGCGTTGAGAAGCCCATCGTGTATCCTGTTAGACTCCACTAAATTGAATTGCCAAGGAGCGTAACCTCCAGCATTTTGTCAATATAGAACTGGCAAAGCCGTCTTCGGAGCTTACATGAAAAAAAACACACGACTCTATACTACTGTAACAGTGGCCGTCACTGCTGCTAGCACCAAATTGGGACTACAAATGACTACAGTACGCAAGGACCAGCCAAACTGTCACGGAGCCTACAGTAATTGGTCTCCGCCGGTTGGAAGCTTTTGCGAGCTTGGTTCGGCCCGTTCGAGCCCTCCAATCTCCAAAGTCTGAGAGGAACATCAACACTCCAAAAACTCAATCTCGACCCCCTTTGCGATCTCGAGCAAATCAGAAATCAAGACATCAAATTCCTTGAAACCTCAACAGTCCAAACAACTATCTTGCCATGGAACCGGCAACTCATCTTCAAATGTGGAAGGCCGATGGAGGCCCCCGCGCCTCCTTGCCAGCCTGGTCAAAGTCACCGAACTTCCCTCCGAAGTTCACCAGCTCGCCATGCTGGGGCGGCCGCTCGTACGGGCCCGGGGCGACGCGACGAGGGACTTCGCACAGGTCCATGAATGAAACGTCCAAACCTGGAGGGTGGTGTCATGTTTCTCCATCTATCATAGAAGGATCCACTGGGAGATCTAGTTTTCCCACATCATCTTATACCAGCTTTTGATCCTGAAAACTTACATTGATTCTGCAACCCTTTCAGTGCAACCCCCCAAAAAAAGGAATCGACTTCAGCCAGCCCGGTCGGCCTCCTTCGATAACTTGGCATACTCTGCCTCTGTCTCATGAGGAAATCTCCAAACAGTACGAACTTATCAACCCTTTGATAGGTTCACAGTAGATGGCATGACAATAGCAGAAATCCACATATCTTTCTTGAACCCCCTTTTCGGCTCACCTAGTTACACTGTTAACGGATTATGATAATCGGTCTCGATGGGGCCGTGATTGATCCTTGTGGGTAGGGTCATCATCCTTTAACACACACCTCCCTCCAACCTCCTAGCGTCCTTGCTACTGGTAGCGATGCACCTTGTTACTAGTAGTTTCTTGTTACTACTAGTAATGCCAGGAGCTACTAGTGGCGTCCTTGCTACTAGTTGCAGACCCCGGCTGTATGACTGTAAAGAAACCCCAAACACCATCAAGGGCGCAGATTTGATATTTCCACTTCATGCCACATTACGCCCCTCCAAGGCGACATGCCGCTTCATGCCGATTGAAATAAGATAAAGTCGCATAACTACTACAAGCCTGCTCCCACTCCTATATTTTCTACTCTCTTGTCTTCTCAATCGTTATTCTTCTCTTTCTCTTTCCCTTTCTCTTTCTCGATGCATTGCTGGACGCCAGTTGCATCCCGCACTCTGAAGCTGGGATGGGATGGGTTCCTCTTTTTGATGCTGTTGATCTGTATTGATGCTAGAGACCTGGTGCTCACAAAACAGAATCCACTTTCCTGCCTAGAGAAAATCGAACACGACCAACCTGATTTTTTTGAAGCGCACACCGAGGTTGCATGAGGATTCAAAGGCAGAACTTCAATCAAGCGCAACGCCAGCTCATGCCGTTGAAGTGCCATGGAGACACGTGAAGTGACCTGCTCTACTCTAAATTCTTATCTTGTCTTCCCTAGTCCTACTCCTCCTCTCTTCGCTTGTACAGTAGTCTCTTCTCTTCTCCTCTCCTCTCCACTCCTCTCCGTTCCTTTCTCCTGACTTCTCCTTCTCCGTCTCCTTCTCCTTCTCCTTCCTCTTCTCCTTCTCCTTCTCTCCTCTCCTCTGCGGACATGTCGGGACCAAACGAGGATACCAACTTCCGATCAGATCCATGTCTCCATACCCTCACCCTCCAGAGTGCAGTTCAGTGGCCCCAAGCAGTCTTGCTTCAGGAGATATCAGAAAGCTTTCCTCCTCAAACATGTCATGGATGTTACCTCAAATTGCTATGCCCGCCCGAACGTACTTTTTTTAACGCAAACCACTGTAGATGTTGACACCGTGATCATATGCCAAACTAAGCATGGTGTTCATTTTCTGGTTCAGCCAATACCAATACTATTCTTGACTGGAGTCAGCCAGCATTCATTCCGTCCCAAATCTCACGACTGGATGACCGAGATCACTCCTCGAAAGGAAGCACACGAGGCGCATTGGGCTGACTGTGGCGTGGCCAGCCCAGTGGGGCACAAGAAAAACCCTTCGCGTAAAGAAACTCAACATCCATGAAGCTATGAACAAAGACTGGAACAAAAACTACCCAGGCAGGTCTTGTAGGTCTTGATTCTCGTAAGATCTCGTAAGTCTTGTCTCAGTAGGTCCTAGGGGCAGCTGATGAGCCTTGGGTTTGTATGATATCCCAAATCAAATATGGAGCCGTGGGTTTGCCTCTGGTCTTTTTGGATGTCACACCTCTGCGGACGAGATCAGATGAGTGAGACCCAATTCATCGCCGCACCGTGCAGCCACGCGCGTCACGTCGGACGCAGCAATGCGGCGCACCTCTGCCATCCACCTCGGCCTCAAGGTCTGTTTCGGTTCACTTGCTGACTAGATATGGTACCCTGAGATAAGTGGTTCCAAGTGCATCAAAGATTAAATATGTGTTGCAATCATTCAGTGTAACTTGCAATGCCTTTAAACAGTAGAGTCTCCAGTATTGCCATCATCCATCTTAAACCCAAACAGTTGGTTCAGTTCCGGCACTTCTTCCATCAATGTCATCATAATGCCACCCTACAGACCTAAACCTGGTCCTGAAAAACACCTCATGCAACGACTGTGTTTGCGCAGGCTGGTCCGCCTGCGGGGGCAGCTTTGGACAAGGCCACTGGATCCACACCTCGGTGCTGGTGAAACCGGTTGCGGGCGAGTTTCGCCAGGGCGACTCGGTGGGAACAAATAGGACATGATGACAAATACTTGTGGATATGTATCTGGTTCGTATATGTTCATACATACTATAGTCTGTATATTTTATATATATAGAGATATATATATAGAGGATATGTAGTACCTGTGCTTTGGGGAGTTTTTAGGTTTGAAGCTTGTAGATCTAAACAGTTACTGTAAAAGGAATCAGGAATGCAACCTTGGTGCGTCATGGCCCGGTGTTGTATCTCAAACATGTTCCGCTTTGCAAGCCCGTCATTCTCACAGTCTCAGGAGTGCCTTCTCCACGCAAAGGAAAAAGAACACCAACAACAAGCAGCGCAAACTGAAGCGTTTCATTGTCCTAGATCCACTCTGGGTGCCTTGCCAATGGGTGGTGGTGGCACCATCATGCCGTCCGCTTCCGCCATGATGCCAGTGCCCTGACCGAGAAGGGGAAACAGGATCACTGGCAGAAAGGCATGGCTAGAAAGATCAGCTGTGAGGGCTCTATGGGAACTAGGTACGAGTACATATGGGTGTAACATGTGTTGTGTAACATGATAGATGAAGACCTGCTGTAAAGGAAGACCTTCCATGGATGATGATATACTAAACTTCATGGAAGTGGAAGACCTGCCTACTAAGGGCAACCGATCGTTCCAAGGGCCGCGCCTACTGAGTGGCTTGTGTATAGTGGCTTGGTGTATCACACGCCAGCATAAACCATGTGATGCTGGCTTGAACTCAGCCAGAACCGATGGAAATACATGTGTTTGTTCCCTAATACTGTTATTTGTATATATATAATATATAGAGAGACAGAGGGATATTAGCCATGAGCATAAACATTGCATTGAACAAAGTGTCACACTCGCCCATGACGGTTCTGTGCTGACACAGGTGTCATACATATGTCATAAAGGTCCCATCTCCGACCGCTATTGGGTTCTGAAGGTCCACGAGAGCACAAGAGCATCATGTGCATCAGATGCAGGTGCACTCCTTTTCTGAGGTTTGTTCTCATATTCATGTCTGGGGTGTTCACTCTGCCGGTAGACAACTCGAAAAAGCTTTGACACTGTGCAAACCCTGGCACTCTCCCATCAAAAGCGAACAAGGTACAAGTACAAAGGCTGATGTCCTTTGTAATTTGTATGATATATAATCCCTACCCAGTATGCAGGGGGGGACCTGAAAAAATGTAACTTACATTTTCCTGTTCGAGGGTGCCTGGAAAATGTAAGTTACACTTTCTCAGAAAACCCTGGAAAATGTAAGTTACAATTTCCTGGCATCCACAGGCAGAAAATGTAACAATCTGCAAAAAATGTAAGTTACAATTTCCAGGCAGTCTGCCTGCAACTGTAACTTACATCTTGAAGGTCATAAACTGCAGCATGCTGTAGCAGTTTTTCCCTCTGCGCTTTTCGCAAGTGCCCACCTGCTTGTGTGTTGCCTGGGGCACACTTAGTTACATTTTTTATCACCCAACCACTGCCCAGCGTTCTCCCTGCCAGCCACAGCTGGTCCAATTTCTACTGTGGAAGTACAAACAGGATAAGAAAAAATGTAAGTGAGTTCTGGGTAGGCATGAAATACTCCATTATCACATATGGTTCCCTGTCCTGTGTGCCACGGGAGGGTTTGCTTCCAGCATCCTTCTTTCAGCATCTCTCAGTCATTGGCCCACCACACTACAAGAAATGCTTGGCCATCCCCTGTCTCACACCTCCCAAGCCCAAAAAGGAAAAAAACTTCACAAAAGGACCATAATAAATAATAAGTGTAACTTACTGTTTGTCCAGGGCTTGAAAACTTGCATGTTTACCTGCTTGTCTGTTGCCTGGGGCGCACTTAGTTACATTTTTTTATCACCCAACCACTGCCCAGCGTTCTCCCTGCCGGCCACAGCTGGTCCAATTCCTACTGTGGAAGTACAAACAGGACAAGAAAAAATGTAAGTGAGTTCCGGGTAGGCATGAAATACTCCATTATCACATATGGTTCCCTGGACTGTGCGCCACTGGAGGGTTTGCTTCCAGCATCCTTTGGCCCACCACACTACAAACCCCCTGCCTCACACCTCCCAAGCTCAAAAAGAAAAAAGACTTCACAAAAGGACCATAATAAATGTAACTTACTGTTTGTCCGGGGCTTGAAAACTTGCATGTTTACCTGCTTGTCTGTTGCCTGATCCACCAATGTTTCACCTCCCAAGCATCACCAAGCCTTATCCCTGCCAGCCAGAGCCAAACAAAATAATGAGTTGACCATGTCTATTCTATCTTTGAAAATCTCGTTTAGTCCAATTCGGTATTGTCTTTCTCAACGGCATGTGCCATCGTGGAGCCAAATGCTCTACATACACATGCAAGCTCCACGAAGCTAAAAGCGGGGGAGAACAAATGTAACTATACACCTGTGAGACTACCTTGGAGGTATCTTGTTACATTTCTTCCACCCCCCAAAAAAAGGCATCGGGGGGGGGTGCAAAAATGTAACATAGGCCCTGGGAGGTCCATAGTTACATTTTATAGGCCCCCTCCCCCCCCCCCTCCAGAGACCCTGAAATCTTGCCTGGGGGGGGGTTGTTACATTTAGGGTCCCCCCAAAAAAATGTAAGTTACATTTTTGAGGTCCCCCCCTCGAAAGCTCAGTAACAGGGTGGGGATGATATATAGGTTTTCAGATTCTACGATCATCCGCAAAATGTACAAAGCACAGAAGGACGACTCCTCCAAAGTGAAGTGAAGTTCTCAAAACCCACTCACTTGAAGTACTGGAGGATCTTCATCTACTCTGAGCCCTACTCAGCAACCCACCACATTGTCATCCGACCCACAGACCACCTGCCAGGAGGTCATCTTTTCCACCTGGGTGGCATTTCGTTCCCCCCAAAAAAGAACGCCGGAGGTGTTTCGTTGAACTCCCAAGGCCCAAAGCCCCTCATGTTGCAGTTCGTGTCGATTGCACCAAAGGGACGAACGAATCAATATAGAACGCATCATGAACACATCTGTCACTTCCCGGTCGTTGACCAAGGACAATTCATGGTGCTTCCGATGTCCCCACACGTGGCCACCCTTGCTAACCGCTCTTTCGTCGCTCCGGGGAGCGCTCCGGGGAGCAGGCCGTGCGTGCACTGATGGCGCCCATCTTCTTGGCCTTCAACTCCATGAGATGATAGGACTCAATGACCTCAGTGGAGCATGGTGCGGATACCAGTCGCATGGCTCACATGGAGCTGTCCGGTGCGACGGGATGTGACTGGCTGATACCAGTAGGACAACAAGAATGTTAAACTCTTAATGTTTGGACACCAAGAAAGCAGCCGCTTGTAGTCACGAGTCCCAAATATGCTGTTCACAGTGCCTGGAAGTCCACTGCATCCTCCATGTCATCCAGCAAGCTTTTCAAATGATCTCCCTGACACGTGGCAAATCATTGCAACGCTCACACGAGCTGAACGCCACCGAATTCTGTGAGTGACTGCGTCGGGTCGGGACAGCTCCGTGGCTGGGCCACCGGCCACCTCGGTCTCTAAGCCACGACTCACCCGGACCCACTTGTTCCTAGCTTCTTGTTACTACTAGTAAGGCACCTGTTACTACTAGCGTGGCACTTGTTCTTAGTAGCTTCTTGTTACTAATAGCTTCTTGTTACTACTAGTAAGGCACCTGTTACTACTAGCGTGGCACTTGTTCTTAGTAGCTTCTTGTTACTAATAGCTTCTTGTTACTACTAGTAAGGCACCTGTTACTACTAGCGTGGCACTTGTTCTTAGTAGCTTCTTGTTACTAATAGCTTCGTGTTACTACTAGTAAGGCACCTGTTACTACTAGCGTGGCACTTGTTC